CAATATGGGTCATTGTGAAGATTTTCCTCCCAAGGGCTGACACATACCAGCTGGGGCCGTCTGGACACTGCTTAGAACGTTGTGGTTAGATGCAAACCTCTGAAGAGTGGCAGTGAGCTGCTCTGTTATAGGAAAGTCTCTTTGGTTTCTCCCACCCTCCCTGCCGCCAGGTGCGTGTGTGCCCCCAGCTGTCTGAGGGCCGTTCTGTCGGAGCCTCCCTCCCTGGACGAGGAGTCTGTGGCCAGTTCTCGGCACCCTCTTAGGCAGCCAAGGGTGAAGGCCCCGTAGAGGAGAGGGTCCAGAGGAGCGTTGAGGAGGCCAAAGAGGAAAAGGATGTGGCCGAGGCTGGGGGGCACCTCAGTTAGCATGGCGGGGGAGAACCAGTACCACAGACCCAGCAGGTAGTAGGGGGTCCAGCAGAGGACGAAGGTCAGCAAGACAAGCAGGGCCAGTCGCAGGGCCCGCAGGCGGACGCGAGGGCGATTGTCTAAGGAGCGGCGAAGCGCACATCCATCCGCAGGGGCTGGGAGTGGAGACAATGAAGGAAGGCACTGGTTCAGAGCCACCCCCCTTCTGCACGAGCCCAGGATGAGGGCATGGAGGGGCAGAAATAAGGAGGTGGAGCCCTCCCCACCTCTGGGAAACGAAAGGCTGCAGACCCCTTTCTCGTCCCAACCTGGGACTCCGTGGTCCCCTCCCCACAGGGGTTGTGGCCGACATGCTGGGGGAAGGATTGGTCCACATGGCTGTGTGATACAGAAAGTCCCTGATCTGCTCTTAATTGACAGTGTCACAGAGCGAAGGAAAAGACAGACCGCATTCTCCCTGATCCCTGCAGCGATCGTGGCTTTGGAGGACCAGGCACTGGTTGGGACCAAGTGCGTTCAGTAAATTCATCTGCAGCAGCAGGTGCTGCAGGTATGTGCGGTGGTGGTTCTCTCTGGATCAGTGACTGATAGACAGCTGTCAGAAGTGTCAGGCTGGGGCCAGCGCCCTGAGGGTAAGGGTCAGAGTGAGTGGAAGTTCCTGTTGCTGACCGTGTGGGAGGAAAGGGTAGTGGGATAGCTCAGCTGACGGTTGTGAACAGGAAAAGCTGGCGAGGAGTACTCACTTTCTACACTTCCTGCCAGCCCTCCACTCAGGGTGCCCCCTGGCACCACAGCAGGAAATGCTGCCTACTCTGTGCCATCCCCGTGGTCAGCGTGATTCAGGCCCCCCGAGACCAGTGGAGGCTTTATTGGCCGATTTCGGGTATAGAGTCTTGGCCTGGCTTGCCTTAACTGTGAAGCTCCGCGATGGACAGCTGGTGGCTGCTCGGCTCTCTGATCATGCGTCCTTCGTCCCACGAGAGCAGTGCTATTGTTAGTTGCTGTTGAGCCTCCCGCTTAGTCCAGTGCAAAGCGTTTTAAATGGCCCGAACCCCCTAAGAACGTGAGGTTGCAAAACAGCTGACAAGAGTGAAAGGCTTATGATGTGCCAAGACCAGGAATTAGCAGCTAAAAATCAAACTTGGTGAATCCAGCTGTATCTGGTCTCACTGGCCTATGCTGCAAATGTCTCCAGTGAAAAGGGGCTGGTCGCGGAAAGGTTGAAGAGGCCTTGGTTTAATGTAACAGAGACTGCTGGGGCTCACACCATTCTGGTGGGGGTTGCCGTTTGAGTTCATTGTTGCCGCTGCTGTGTCAGTCCAGCTCCGGGAGGGTCTGTCTGCCTGTAGTTTTGGGTGACCATCTACCAAGTCTGCTCTTCCAACCCTTTGTCCCTCCCGATGATGTGTTCACGTACGGGAAACAGTCTCGCCTTGCCGATGCTAAGGAACACTGGCTGTACTTCCTGCTCGACTGACATGTCTGTTCCGGGAGCCCCTCCAGTGATGTTCACCAGCACAAGGACTCGTGGCAGTTCCCCGGCCTCCTTTTTCATGGCGATGGAACACACATGGCTTGGGTCAGGTAGCTGTGCAGGGCCATGGTGCCGTTTTTCAAGGTTAGGATTGTATCGGGAAAATCTTTTGCCTGCCAATTAAGGTTGCATATGGAGCAGAACATTAACTTTGTTAAATCCTGCAACTTAGAAAAACCCTGCCAAGTACTAGTCTAACACTGTACAAAGCATGTGCCCCTAGATGCGGGCCAGTTTGCAGCTGCATTGTGACGTGGCCTTTAGTAATCCTGTCTTGTACAATGTTTCCGTAACGTTTTACATTTCCTAAATGCTGTTGGCTGCCCTGCCCCTCCGGGGTAAGGAGTCAGTGAAGGACATTCACAGAGGAGGGGGCACTGGGTCGTCAGCCCTGAATCAGCTCCAGCCCCGAGAGCTTCTAAGAAAGGTAGACAGTTGACCACTGGGACGGACAAGTGCTTTACTCACGTTAGGGTGAAGACCACTTTGTTGTTCTGGCCAGGCCACGTGGACCCAGGAGGCAGGGGCAGGGAGAAAAGAGGTACGCGGGAAGGAGACATGACGTTGAGAGGAGGTCGGGCAATGGCTAACATCACTCTGGATCATTACACCCTTCTTGCTCCATTAGCCATCTTTCAAGACGCCAAATTTGTAGGTCTCAAAATTCAACTTTGCCATCCCCCACTTTTATTTAAGCAAAGAATATCTATTTGTAGTTGAATAGTGGTTGATGATAGATCTGTTGATTAGAGCAGACAGCATTTTTTCTTTTCAATCATTTTATTGGGGGCTCATATGGCTCTTACCAAATTCATACATCCATTGTGTTAGGTACATGTGTACATATGTTGCCATCACCCTTTTCCAAACATTTTCTCTGTACATGAGCCCTTGGTACCAGGTCCTCATTTTTTCCCTCCCTCCTTCAAGAACCCTTGATAATTTATAAATTATTATTATGTTCATATCTCATACTGACCGTCAGGAACCCTTGATAATTTATAAATTATTATTATGTTCATATCTCATACTGACCGCTGTCTCCCTTCACCCATGTTCTGTTGTCCATCCCCATTGGAGGGTGTAGTGATATGTCAATCATTGTGATCAGTTCCCCCTCCCCTCAGCAGGGAGCGTTTTAACAGTCTCCGGAGGACCCTACTGGCACTGGAAGGGACAGCCAGTAGGTCGGTGCCCAGGAAGCAGGTGTCGGTGTGCATTCTGGAGAGCAGAGGCCCCGGCGTCTTGTAAAGGAGTCTCACTTAAGAACGTGGGAGCTTCTGTCTCACTTGCAAGTGCTTCGTCCCTTGTACATCTGCCAACTGGCAAAACCCTGGGGGATTTGGAAAATCCACCTCAGAGGAAAAAGTTCAGGCCGACCGTGGTCTGCTTCCCAGCCTGCTACAAGAAATGGCTCGGTAACTGGAACCTCAGCCAGTCTACTGAGGCTCTTGAAGTTTTCAGAAAAACTGAGCCTAAATCCGTTCAGTCCTCCCCAGTCCCTACATATTTTTACCCTTACACTCAGAGCCCCAAGCACAGATGACCCCCTTCCTGTGTCTGGACCCCGAGGTCTAAGCGGTGGCCCTC